TGTTCTCTATTCTTGCAGAGCAAATTATTGGAGCTGAGACCTCTGTTGACCTTGGAAAGACTGAGCGTATTCTAAGTATTGGTGATGGTATTGCCCAAGTACATGGACTGAGGAATGTTCAAACAGAAGAAATAGTACAATTTTCTTCAGGCTTAAAGGGTATGTCTCTTAATTTGGAACCTGACAAGGCTTGTGTTACTGTGTTTGGAAATGATAAACTCAAGAGGACAGGAGTCACTGTGGACATTCCTGGTGAGGAGCTGTTGGGTCATGTGGTAGATGCCCTTGGTAATGCCATTGATGGAAAGGGTTCACTTGGTTCCAAGACCTGTAGGCGAGTTGGCCTAAAAGCCCCTGGAATCATTCCTCAAATCTCTGTGCGAGAACCGCACAGAGACTGGCATTAAGGCTGTGGATAGCGTGGTACCAGCTGGTCGTGGCCAGCATGAGCTGATTATTGGTGACAGACAAACTGGAAAAACCTCAGCTGCTATCAACACAATCATCTAGAAATGTTTCAATGATGGGACTGATGAAAACAAAAAGCTGTACTGTATTTATGTTGCTATTGGTCAAAAGAGATCCACTGTTGCACAGTTGGTGAACACTGTAAGTCTACAAATGCAGATGCCATGGAATACACCACTGTGGTGTCAGCTACAGATTCTGATGCTGCTCCACTTCAGTACCTGGCTCCTTATTCCGGCTGTTCTATGGGAGAGTATTTTAGAGACAATGGCAAACATGCTTTGATCATCTATGATGACTTATCCAAACAGGCTGTTGCTTATCACCAGATGTCTCTTTTGCTCCGCCCCTTCCTCCCTCCCCCCCCAGTCAAGAGACTTATACTGGCAATGTATTCTACTTACACTCCCGGCTGCTGGAGAGAGCAACCAAAATGAATGATTTTTTTTGGCAGTGGCTCCCTGATGGCTCTACCAGTCATTGAAACAGGCTGGTGATGTGTCTGCATACATTCTCATGAATGTCATTTCCATCACTGATGGGCAGATCTTCTTGGAAACACAATTGTTCTATAAAGGTATCCGGCCTGCCATAATGTTGGTTTGTCTGTGTCCTGTGTCGGATCTGCTGCCCAAACCCGAGCCATGAAGCAGGTGGCAGGTGCCATGAAGCTGGAATTGGCTCAGTATGGTGAGGTTGCTGCTTTTGCTCAGTTCTGTTCTGACCTTGATGCTGCCACTCAACAACTCTTGAGTTGTGGTGGGAATCTGACTGAATCGCTGAAGCAAGGACAGTTTTCTCCCATGGCCACTGAAGAACAAATGGCAGTTATCTATGCTGGTGTGAGAAAATCTTGATAAACTGGAGCCCAGCAAAATCACAAAATTTGAGTATGCTTTCTTATCTCATGTCATCAGCCAGCATCAAGTCCTGTCGAGCAATAACAGGGCTAATGGAAAGAGCTCAGAAGAGTCAGGTGCAAAACTGAAAGAGATTTTTATCAAACTTCTTGACTGGATATGAAGCTTAAATTCATGGATTGATATCAAATACCAGTTTGTTTTTTGTCGTTTCTTCTAGTAAATCTGCTCCATTTGTAAAAGGATTACTCTCATCTCCCTGATGTACAGATATCACATTAAAAATAAAGGTTCCATATTGTGTGGTGGTGAAAACAAAAAAATTAATGACACTGCTTTCTGTGTGCTGTTCGAACTTTCCACTAGTATGAAAACTCCCTTAATCTGGTTTCTCCTTACATCTGTCTTGAGACTTTAGTGTGCATAATAACCTTTCCTGAAACTTGTTTTAAATGCATTCCTAGATGTTCTGATTGAGAAAATCTGAGAAAGAATCTAGGAATCTGCACTTTTAACCCAGCACCCCAGGTGATTCTGATGTCATTGGTAGGGAACCACACTCTTAGATAAACTGTTTCAATGGAAAACAAAAATTCCATGTCCAAACATGAAACAAAAGTTTTGCACATACGTTTTACTTTATTCTGGAGAGGTTTTTGCTATAGGGCGCATGCGCTCGCCAGACAGATAGAGAGAGACAGAGAGATAGAAAGCAGGAAATCACCCCCCAGGGGGGATGGCCACGCCGCAATCCCTTCTCCTCCATTCTCCTCTTGGGATCTTGGGCACGCACGCACACGCGCCCGGCATGAGTTTAAGCCACCGGGTCCGGGACTCGAACCGCGGTCAACTACGTGGGAGTCCAGCGACATAGCCATTACGCTAACTGCTGGTCCCAACTTTATTCTGTAGGTATACAAAAGCCTAATTCCAAAAGTGTTACTCTAAAGCTTCTAATTAGTTTTTTACCCCACAGGAAGGCCACTAAAACAAGTCACAGAGAATTTTAGATTCCTTTATAAATGTGAGTCTCCATGCCAGATGTTCAAAGGAAAATACAATTCAGGTGGAAGTTCAGAGATTCAAAGTGCATTGTTTGTTTTTTTAGATATGGAAGAGATCTAATAGACATAATTTACACCAGGGGTCAGGGCCAGCAAACTACATCTGGGGTGGAGAGGAGGAAGTGGAGAGTAGTAGCAAATTTGGCCTACTGCCTGTTTTTTATGGCTCAAGATCTAAGAGTAGTTATTACATTTTTTAATAACTCAAAATCATAAATATTGTTTCAGCCGTGATATGCTTGCTGGTTGATGCTGCCACTCAGTGGACTGAGGCCACATAGAAGGCCCAGGTTTGATTCCTGTCCCACCCTGTGCTACTCAGCTTGGCACAATGGCACAAGCCAGTAGTCCTAGCTACCAAAAAGGCTAAAGGAAAATGGGTATGCTGGTGATCCAGACTAGCTGGAAGACTGAAAGAAAAATTGCAGTGTGACAGGACCCTGTTTACAAAGGCTTTTCTTTGGTCTAATGGAATTTAACCCTGGTTTCTTCAGATTTTTGTATTGTTTAATGTTTTAAATATTTGATGGGATATAGTCTAAGAACAAAAAAGCTGCAAATAAATCTAAAACCTCATTTAGTATTCCTGTTATTGGTAGACTTTATGGTATTATTATTTTGAAGATATTTTATTTAAATTGAAGGATTAAAAAAAAAAACAGTAATTACTTCAATATTGTTAGGAACCGAGGTCTTCAGTATATAAAAAGAAATATGAATATAAAATAAGGACATTAGGTAAAACCCTGAGATGTATTTGATATGAAATTATCAATATGAACTTGCTATTTTAAAAACTATATTTCTTAGTCCTGATGAGTCTAGAAGCAATGATAATAAAATATTTATGAGCATCTTTAGCTCCCAGATGAGTGATAACCATTAAAAAGGTCCAGGAGTGCTTAAAAGAAAATGTGGGCTAGCCTTAGGCATGATGGTTAAAGTGGCTGGATCACAAATGGCCAGCGTGATTGAAGCCCCAGACCCAGTGGCTTGAAAAATACTCAAGGTGTGTGTGTTTATATGCCTGAAATCCCAACAGGAGGAAGAAATGGAGGAGAAGGGATTGCTGTGTGCTATTCCACGTGGGAGTTGCTTTTTCACTTTCTCTTTCTCTCTCTCCAGCAAGTGCACATGCTCTCTGGCAAATTGAAAAAAAAAAAAGGTATGAATTTTTCAGAGGCTAAAAGAGTAGTGCCATAAGTACACAGGAGCCAAAGTTGGGCAATGTGAGCATCAAAAAGAAAAAAATGTTTAAAATATATTGAATAGATCTTAAAAGCTATTCATCTCATAATGATAATCAAAAAGGAATGCTATTCCAAAAGAGAAACTTTTTTTCATTTGCTGTCATGGAAGCAACTACTGATAGATAGACAGGTAAGATGATGTACATATATAGGTACAATATTCTGAAAGTCTAATTAAAAGGAGAAAAATATTTTTCTGTCATCTTAGTAGGAAGCATATTTCAATGTAACCAAAGACATAGCAACAAAGTGGAATTTATTTCAGAAATTCTAAGATAGTTCAACATTAGGACATCTATTAATAAAATTCATCATTAATGGATCTAAGTTAAAAAACACATGACCATCTCCATAAGTGTTGAAAAAGCATGTGAAAAATTCAATGATCAGTCTTGATTTTTAAAAATCACTCTGTAAGATAGAAATTAGGTACATTTTTCATATTGTAATAAAATACATATTTTTAAGATTCAAATGGAATAGAACTAATGTATTTTTAAAAGCTTCTCATGAAAGAAGTTTACTAAAGTTGTAAACAAGACAAGGATGCCAATTATTTAACATGGTATTGGAGGTAATAGCCAATGCAGTTAGGTAAGAGAAACATGTTAGATACATAAAAGTTGAAAAGGATGAAGAAACAGTACTATTATTTACAGACAATATGGTTGTCTCCTTTGGAAACCGAAGAAATCAACTAAGATTTTACTGTAAAATAACTCAGTAAGGGGGCCAGCAGGTGGCACAGTGGTTAAGGGCACTGGACTCCCACATGGGAGACCACAGTTCAAGAACTAGTCGACTACATGAGAGTACAGCAATGTAATCATTATGCCATCTGCTGGTCCTGGAAATTAAAAAATTTCTAAAGCCACAACTCTCATATAGCTTACTTACCAGTGCAAGGAGACATATAAATACACAAATGAAATTATACTTGGAGTCTTAGTGAGATAATTTAATCTATTAATAAAAATAACTTATTTAATATTCATTAGTTTTCACAGTGCTTTGAAAATAGCAAAAGTAACATATTTTTTACCGTAACACATTCCCACTATCTATAAAATCACTTCTTCTAAGTTCTACTTAGGTGATTACTTATCGTTCCACTAGGTTTTCAATATAATGAGATGGCTCCTCAATTAAAAATATGATAGGGGTCTGAAGGCGGCATGATTGTTAAAGCTCTGTTCTCCCACATGGTTGACTGGTTCGTGTACCAGACCTGGCAGTTTGCTTTCTCATTTTCCCTCTCTCTCTCTCTGTCTCTCTCTGGTCAGATTAAAAAACTATAATAATAAATAAAATTAAATAAATAATTATCTTAAATAATTTTTTAAAATGACAAACTGTACCTGTTGCAGATAGTGTCAGGAACGTGTATCTTCAGGTTTTCTGTGACTTCTCTCATCACCCTCTGGTAACCAGACATTCCTTGGTCTTTGACATAATAAGTATTGTTTCTCATTAAATATTCTCCCAGACGATTAATTGGATCAAACTTGGTTGGAACATCAACTTCTGTCAAAAGCTTCTTTTTTTCCTCTTGCATTAACATTTTTTCCACTCCAGGAATCAAGGTGGGTAGAAGTTTGTCAAGCAAATATGCACGAGTATTGAGTGTCATGCTTTCAGTGTTAAACCACTCTTCGGCCAAATTATCCCTAGGGAGTCTTTTTTCACTCTTTTTTTCTAGTTCTTTCATCATATTTTCTTTATCTATTATTTTTTGCTGCATTGCCTGGGCTCTTTTCTCTATTTTTTGAAAGAGATTTTTCTTCCATGGTTGTTCTAGCTTTGATTTCGGTTCAGTTTCATCTAAACCAAAAACTATTTTTGCAGGTTTTCTCACCACCATATTTCTTGGAACCTCAGAGTCAGGGTCTATTATAGAGCTAGTTGAGACTTGTGGCTGCTCATCCAGGTTTGATTCTGAGGGGAAAAACATTTTTAAAATATTAGAGGTTTATTTTAATCTTTATGTCTTTAGACTATTACTAGAAAAAAGTGTTTTACATCATTTACATGGTGTACTGAAATATTGTCAGCTGAAATTAACAGAAAATCAGATGACAATAATTTTAACCATAAAGACATTTACTGTTGGCTTTATCGGAAGTCATTCAGCATGATATATATATATTTTTTTTGGAGAGATTTTCACTGTAGGGCGCGTGCGCTCGCCAGACAGACAGAGAGAGACATAGAGACAGAAAGCGAGAAATCACCCCCCAGGGGGGATGGTCACGCCGCAATCCCTTCTCCTCCATTCTCCTCTCG